TTTAGTTAAAAAACATAAATGTATACAAAGTAATAATCATAACAATGCCTTGTTGGATCTGTAACATATAGAGAGAGCATATAACAATAATAGCACAGAAAAGAGGAAAGAGTGAATAAAGACCTATAGAGTTAATATTTATGTTTCACTGGAATTAAGGTAGTGTAAATGTAAAGTAGATTCTAATAATTTAAGGCATGAACCAGAAACCCTAGAGCCACTAAGAAATGGACTAAAAAATACAGTAAATAAATCCCTGAAATAATTAAAGTATGACTAGAAAATACTCATTTAATGCAAAATAAAGCAGTAAAATAGGATCACAGGAACAAAAAAAGATATATATATATATATATATACACACACAATATATATATATAAATAATTAAAAATATGTAAGCAGTAAATATGAGTGAATTAAAAACTCAATCAACAGGTAAAGATTTTCAGACTGCATTTTTTAAAAAAGATCTAAGTATACACTGTCTATATGAGACACACTTTAGATTCAAAGATAAAAATAGTATGAAATGTAAACAGCAACCATAAGAGAGTTGGAGTACCTATACCAATCAGAGAAAATAGGTTTAGCTCATGACCAATATATTCCCCATTAGTGGCAGCAATAATAGGAAATCTATCTACTAATGAAATTTGCTGCATAGCAGACATCAAGGATATACTGAAAGTTGGACAGCAGAAGACAGAAAATCTGGTGGTCTTTGTGTCTGTCTATTTGTTTGCATGCTACTAAAAGCTCACATCACTCAAGAAAATGTCCTGTGCACACTGAATGAAAATCCCTTTAAAGTCTGGGCTAGAGTTTCTGTTAGTTTTGGACCAATGGCTGAATTACACATGAAGCTGCAAGTTCTCTCTGCATGTACAGTGATACCTCGGTTCTCGAACGCCTCGGTTTTCGACCAAATCGGTATTCGACCAGGAGATTCGAGAAACTTTTGTCTCGGAATCCGAACAAATATTTGGAACTCGAACTTCCGAGATGAGCCGAGTTGAGCCGAATGGCGTTCATTCGGCCCAGCGCGCCTTGCTTGCGTCATCAGTGTGAGTGCAGAGAGAGAGTCACGCTTTGTGGAGTCCGCTTTCCTATTGGTTTCATTGCTTCGGTTCTCGAACAATTCGGTTCTCGACCATCCTCCTGGAACGAATTATGTTCGAGAACCGAGGTATCACTGTATAAAAAAGTCTTTTCAACTGGCAATAGAAAAATCTCTTACTTTGTGTGTACCCTAGGTATAGCTAGTCTAGACAGACAGATATTAGATTCCAAGTTATCTCAAATTTAACAGAGCTCCTATTCTTATTGATTGATATAGATTAATGAGTACTTACATAATTATAACATAAGGAACACAAAGAATCCCCAGAGAAGAAACTGAACTTCTCATACTTTGAATATGCTGGCCTTTTAAGAACAATCTATTCTCAAGAAATTGCTGATGTTGAAGCATGTTTATACAAGAATCTAAATCCATACAATCACAGGGAATCTTTGGAAATATCAAACCTTGGCTTAAAATCAGCTTTATGAAAAGTACAATGAGATATCATTTTATTTCACATGAAATATGATGGCTATGGGGAAAAATGGCAGACAAGTGTTGACAAGAATATGAAGAAATCGGAACTCTCAAACTTTGCTGTGTTCAGCTGATTGGGAAAACACTTTGTCAGTTTCCCAAAATGTTAACCATAGAGCTATTATATAACCCTGCAATCCCACTCCTCGGTACATAAAGAAGAGATGTTCACAAAAACTAGGGACTTTTACCATGGTTTCACCTTTGGCTTTGACAAAGCTTCCTTACACTAGAAGAGCCTATTTTTCTACACCTTGCCACAACTCCCTTAGTGCTACTACACATCTATATTCAACATTGGTTTGTGAACTTGTGGTTTCCAGAAACAAAATTTGTAAAGTGTATTAAACAAAGATTTGGGGGTGGGGGCAAAACCAGGACTATAAACTTCCTAATGATTACTGAATATTAGCAAACATGTCCAGAATAGCAATGTTAAAATGCAACAGATTAAAATTCCACGCCCTTGGAAAACAGTGCAGCAAATTCCGAAAACAGATTTGGAATAAAAAATTTACAACTTTCTGAATCACCTAGCATAAAAGTTTTAACAATTGACGTTTTACTACCTTCTCCAACAAGCACAACAAAATGAGAGGAGACACCTTGAGAAAGCGAAACTATTAAATCTTAGAGAAAGTTCTGCCCTTGATCCACCTTAACATTTCCTTACTGATATTTTTATCTATATTTATAAACTTTCCTACTTAGGCCTATATTATATTTCTGGGAATATTGGTTCTTTAATAGAACAATTTTGCAGAGAACTTCATTGTCAAAGCATCTAGAAAAATTAAAAGAGAACATGAAAGTGGGTCCAGGCAAACTCTTCTTACAGTTGCTTTTTTCAAAAGAATGAGGGTTGAAAATTATGATCACATGCTTCATCATGCCATGGACTAAATATGGGTAACTCTCAGAAGACTTTTTATAACAAGAATAAATATTTAATGCAATCATGCAAATCATTCTAAAAATGGTTATGATTCTACTGACTTGCTTGTCTTTTTCTAACCTAGCAACCTAACACTTTTTTGTGTGTGAAAATAAAGATTATCTAGAAATGTAGCAAGTTCACTTTTAGTTTCTCTATTCATAAATCAATCCCCCACCCCACCCTTCAAATATACTGATGATACTCAGCAAGGGATTGAATTTGTAGGATTCAATTCAGTTGGTTTACTAATAGCAAAGTGTTACTGTTATCAAAAGAGTTATCTAAATTCAATACTCTGCCACCAAATAGAGAGTAAAACAAAAACAAAAGCCACTTAAACCGGTGCAGAGAGTTTTACAGTATCAATATATATTTAGGCATAGGAGAGGACTTTCAATGAAATAAATAATCATTATTTTATCTGTGAGAGTATGCACTTGTATGAAATAATCTCCTATCATAAGCTATTATACATGTTAAATGCAAAGGATTCTTGACAATAGCCACTTTATAAGCAATCTCCCAAGATATTACTAGATCTGATTTAAGCTAAGCGTGGTTTTAAAGTAAAATATTGCCAGGATGCAAAATATGGGATCAATAATACTTTTTGTTGGATTTAACAAAAAGAGTATTTATATGTTGGCTATGCCTAGATCATCATATCATATACACTAGTATTTTAGTCACATTTATTCACCAATTTAAGACTAAATAGAATTCATTAGTCTTATATTGATCAAGAAGGAGGTTGCTTTTAGAAAAGTGTCATTCACCCTTATTCTTGTCTCTTTCCAATCAACCAACACACACACACACACACACACACACACACACACACACCCCTACCTGTAAATTATAATTTACCAAAAATAAAGGAGCTCAAAGGAATAGGGAAAGAACCAGCAATCAAGTACTTTGTTTAATACTCAGTTATTATTTTTAACACAAGCAAAACAAGAGCTGACTTCAGTTTCCTTGGATGAGAAAGGCAATTCACTGAACAATCTCAAAAGGCTAAACATGTTAATGAAGTTATGACATATGACAAACTACTTAAAAATAAATAGTTTATATATGCATTCTAATCAAGAGAAGAAAATAATTGAAAGTGATTGTATTATTGTATTTTACAAGTCTTTCCACCCTATTTTTAACCTGAGAACCACAAAGTCCACTTGAATTCTCATTGTAATATCAGCAATCATAGTAAGCACAAATAGCCTACCATTATGGGAAGTGATATCAAAGGGATAATGAGTCTGGCCAGCCCTACAGGAGTAGCTGAAGTATTAACACCATGTGTACATGACACCAGCATTATTATTTACCTAAACTTTTACTCTTTAAAGGAATTGAAAATTACCTATTTTAAACACAGACTCAACCAAATTAATAATATTCATGAAACCAAAGGTGTAACATTTTAGTTATATTTTTTCTAGTACAGTATATTTTACATTAAAATAATAGCTCCCAAAATGACCTCATATACCACTAATGGTAAAAGCAAACACATTCAGTGAAAACAAGCTACCCTATATAATTTTCAACCTGATTTCTTTTTCATAGAAAAAAACTGATGAACATATACTAGCATCAAGTTTAGAAACACAGTTAATGTTCAATTTAAAGCCATGCCTGCTACTTATGTGCTGCAGTACATCACTTAAACTTGAAAACAGTTGAACAAAGGCACCTGAGTTGATATATTTTAACTCAAAATACTCACTGTCTCAGTCTCATATTGGGAAATCAATGAGCTATGGAGAAATTGTAATTTACACCAAATGAAAGTGTATAGTGTGCACACAAAAACAAGCTGACTGAAGTTTCCACTTGGATCCTGTCTTCCTGAGTACAGCCTCTGTGGTTTCTATAGCTGATAAGAGTTTAAAGTGACCTTTTACTCCCCTAGGTTGTGATTTCTATGCATGAAAGAGAAGAAACGGGTATAATGTGTTTAAATATGACAACTCTGCTACTTGTATTCTATAGAAAAATCTTTTTTATTTTTTAGCTCCTGATTTTAATTATATCCATTCTCTTCACTAAATCAGTTCATTCCATTCCTTCTGAATAAAATTTCAATTTCTCTGCATCTACTGAGGCTAAGAAAGGTAGAGTCTCTTAGACTTTATTGTTCCTGAAAGCAGATGGAATCATCATCAAAACTCAGAGAGCTAATAGGACATATATGTTCATAATGATTTAAATTACATTAAATATCACCATTCCCATGAGCTTTATGTAATTACCCAGACTTTACCTATTAATATAAAATCCGTAAAGTTCCTAGATATTCATTTTCTTACTTTTCCCATGAGAACTGGGTATGAGCTCTTCCTAGTATATAATTTCTTTGTGAAATATAATGATTAACAATACTATGTGAAACATTCACTTAATAAAGTTCACAACATTATATAACAAATGATAGAAAAGAAATCATGGATTCTAACCACTTTGTCCTCCTTTGGGAAAGCATCCAAGGAAGCAGAGTAAAGAGAGAGGGAAAAGAGGAAGAGAAAAACACAAAATAAGGCATATGTTAATAAATAGATTTTTAAGAAAAACAATTCTTTGTCACTCTAAAGTGTTAAAACATAGCTATGTTGAAAAATAAATGTTAACTCTTCCCCCAAATAATCATTGTTCAATCTTTCATTTGAAAATGCACCTATGTGGATCCATTATATGTTAGATACAAAACTTGGGCACTATAATTTCTAAAATTAAAAAAATTGGATTATTAGATGTACATTTAAACCATTCTTCAGAAAGAAAGCTTAATTCACTACTATATTTAGTGTACCTGTTATTAAAAGATATATTAAAATGCATATACTTTCATGAATAATTTTATAAAATTAGTGTTACAACATTTATAGTTACAAATTGAAAAAAAATCTAAGAAGGGAAATGTTTGTAATAAGTAAAAGTGAAAAAAAATACTTTAACTATTTTAACTATAAATTATTCCACAAGTAACATTTACTTGTAATTTACATTTCAACATATAACTGTCATATGAAAAAATAACTTTTTACATTTTTTGTTTTATACTCAAGATTAAATATTCTAAGCTGTGTTTTATTTTGTTCTTTTGAATATTTTTTTCCAAAATTGGATTGGCTTTAGTCAAGACAGATGAACTACATTAGGACAGCATGTCTGCTCTCAAGCATTCCCTCCTAGCTCAATTTAAAAACCTCTCCTTTTAAAAACATGTGTTTAACCCTAATAATTTTAATATATCAGTAAGTAACTATATTTCGATTAGTTTGCCTCACACTTATAATGGGAAGTTAAACACATTCAGCTGCTATGGGCACTCAGCCAGGATTAGCACTCAGCCGATTTGCACCCTAGACTATCATTCCCATGTCTCATTTGTGAGAATTTATTTCAAAACAGTATGCTTAAGACAACTAAATAAGAGAAAATTAATAAATAGGTCTTGTGCACTGTTTATGTGCCAGAAATATTTTAACCCAAGGTTGTTCTAGAAATGCTTTAAGGTGGTATATGAGGATTAATAAAAAGGAATAACTTTTAGAAGTAAAAAAGAAAACTTATGTGGGCATAAGAATAAAACCTAAAAAATGTCTTTCATAAAGACCTAATTTTAACTATTATAATTGAATTCTCATAACAACACATAGAGTAATTATTACTATCCAGTTCCATAGGTGAAGAAGTTGTTGTTTAGAGAATATGATTATCTTCCCAAAGCCACCAAGGCAATAGCAGGCTCCTCTTAAGGTATAGCATCTATTTTACTGAATGTCTTACTTCCACTAGAAAAGATTTTAGAACACCCTACTTACAACTCAAACACACTACCAAAGAATACAACGTTGATTCATTTTAATTTTAAGTATGATTTTCCAAAGTACGAACACATCAAGATTGTTTAGAGCACTCCTGTTATTTTTTAAATATAATGTTGTATTAAGTTAAAGTCTATATATGATTAGATAACATGCAACATTTTTTAAAGAAACAATGATAATTATTTAGGTATATGTTGATCTTAACTTCTATAATACATTGCAGACCTATATCAAAGAAAACTCACACAGAAATCCCTATAAATAATCCCACTGTAGTAACATTGGGAATATAATTGGGAGTACAATATTAAAATGTGTTCCAAATTAAATATTTATTATAATTTATCTACTATTTCACAAATTTTAATGTTAATTCCATTACATTAGCATCTTAGTGCCTCAAAAATTTGAATATATTTAAAGTACTGGCATAATGGAAGAGTAGCTGTTATTTAAGCCAAGTAAGGAAACTACATCAAGTGAGACTATATCTCATAGAGAAGAAATAAATAAAAAAATTTAATGTTTTTAATATACTCTTTAAAAATATGAATAATTTCCATGTGATAAACTAAGCACTATATTTCTTTAACAGGATATAAAATTACTCTCATAGAGGCTAATGATATATATATATATAATCTTGAATTAAATTTGATGTCATACAGTTTACTTTGCATTTTACCTTCATTCAATCTGAAACCCATATTACAGAAACTAAAGGAGGGTTTTGTTTTTGTTTTTACAAGAATGGGCCATAACAACTCAGGAGTTTTACAACTCATGATACTACATCTACATTCACTGTATTCTTCAGAAAATAAATTTACTCCTACAGATAAGTCGGCTGGTTTTGAATGGGAATCACTTATTAAGACACACACATACAGAAAGGATCTTATTATGAATTATTTTCATCACTACTACCCTACTGTGACCCTTATGAAAAACAAAAGAACAAAACTGGGAGGGGCATATTAATGTATATTTATGCACACGTCTGCTCCCTAACACGCATACATTGTTTCTGCTTGGGAAGGGGAGGGATTGGCATCCACATTCATAATTCCTCGTAGGCCCTCACAGTACTCACGTTGTTAGATCGCAGAGACACGCGGCCTCCGCAGCGGGCGCAGAATTTGGTGCGGCAGTAGGAGCAGAGATGGCCGCACCCATCAGCAAACTTTGTTTTATGACAGATGCCGCAAGTCGGAGCATCATCCTTATGCTCGCCCTGGTAACGCCGCGCTTCTTCCCCTATTTTTCTCACTTGTTCCTTATAGCTTTCAAATTGTTGATGCAATCTCCTGGCAAAAGAGAGAATGGTAGCCTGCTAAGTAAAGGGTGGAAGACAGAAAACATTTTTTCCCCCGACCAGAATAGAAGCACAGCTATTTGAACAAAAGCAAAACATGCAAAGCAACTTCTCCCACTAATCTTACCTACAGAGGTAAGAAATGTAGTCGCATGTATTCAATTAGTACCAGTTTTGCTTACTAGCACTGAACCAGACAGATGTAAGTAGACTCTATGTAATTACTGTTTGTTCCCATCAGTAGAATGCAGGTACTCACTCCGTGCCTCTGCTTCTTTTAGACAGGTGACTTTCACAGTATTTCAGCTAGGTCTCAACACCTTCCATTCATGTATGCTTATAAGTGAAGCAAAATTTATACAAAATACTTGGCCTAACTATATATGATGTACTCTGATATTTTCTATTTAACTCTAAATTTAATACTGATTACTATTTTTAAAAAGTCTATCACAGTAAATGGATTCCATGACTCACTATCTTATGCATGATCCATACTTGGGAAACAAAACTGTTTTAAACTATGTTGCTAAACAACCTGTCTTCCACAAAATATCTTCCTTCGCCCCCATTCCTAGAGACCATTTAATTTGCATCTAGTATTTCATACAATATACAGAATGGTAGCTTATACGTTATATTTGAGCCTTGAGCTTGTTAGTTCTTCTAGTCACATTAAAATTTCTAAACCGCCCTGGCCAGTTTGGCTCAGCAGTTAGAGCGTTGGCCCGTAGACCAGAAAGTCCAAGGTTCGGTTCCCGCTAAGGGCCGTACTTCGGTTACAGTTTGTCCCCAGCCCCGGTTAGGGTCATGTGGGTGGCAACCACTCAATGTGTTGCTCTCATTTAGATGTTTCTCTCTCTTCCTCTCTCTCTCTCTCTCTCTCTCTCTCTCTCTCTCTCTCTGAAGATAAATGCAAAAATGTCCTCAGGTGAGGATAAAAAAATAATAATAATAATAAAATTTCTAAATCACACATTGTAAATATTCAGATTTTTACACACCCCATTTCTGCTTGAATCTTTCTCAGGTTATATGTATGAGGGCTGCTACTACTCTTTACTGATAACTACTGGTGGTGGGACAACCAAAGTTGTTTAAGCAAACGATTTTCCATAAGAATATTTACATTGATCATGATTCAAGTCTCCTCCCTTCCCCATCAATCCAAATCCCTCAATCTTAAATTGCTACAAGTAGAAACCATTAGCTGTCCTATATAGAACATTGGGATATCCAGTGACTCCCCAGCAAAAGAATGCCTTAGTTTTGTAAATAAGAACAGAGAGTTGTCCTAGTCCTAGCCAATAGTCATTGGCTATTACATCAAAAGAGAAGCTCCTGGGAAGTGGCTAATCTGTGTATCTGAGCACGTTTGCTGGATGTGAGTGTTCCCTAGAACCCAGAGTACCCACATGCAATTGTTAATTCAGGCAGTTAGCATGATGCACCACATCCAACATAGCTGTGGGAACTGTACTTCCTGGAAACAGACCGATCAGTTAAGTCCAAGCACTGCAGTTGAAGTATTGGGTTTTCATTATATTTCCCTTTTAACATCAATAGTTTTTAACAGAAATATACTGATTACTTTTAAAATTTGGAAATGGCTTTCCTGCTTTGCCCAGAGGCACGTTTTCCCTATTTAATCCCCATAATTAAAGCAAATATACTTGCACTAGCTTGTAAAGTAGCTGAGCATCTGAAACCTTTCCAATCTAAGGACTGGCTAACTTCAGTTTATAGAAGGATATAGTGATATGTTAATAGATGCAAGAATATTTGACCGATTTTTTGAAGTTGTTGAATACATTACATTTTTTATAGTTTAAGCATCATTAATCTAGGATCAAGTTGGTAAAAAAAAAAAAAAAGTGTGGATATCTATTATTTCAAAAGTAACCATACAAAATAGCACTGAAAATCTTAAAACTTGTATTAGAGAAAATAATTATGAAGAAGTAGGAGTAAGGAAATAAATCAAAGAAACAGAAATAAACTCTAAGTGTAGAGGGAATCCATGAATTAGTATTTATTGTGGGAACCACCAAATCAAATCTACTTAAATAAGTATAAATGAGGAGAAAGCTAGACTAAGGAAAACATTTCCCTATAAACTTACTCTGTCATGCAGAATATGATTTAGTATGGGTGTTGGCAAACTTTAGGTAAGAGGCCAGATTGTAAATATTTTATAACTTGCAGGCCACATAATCTCTGTTGCAAGTTCTCAACTCTACTGTTGTAGCATAGAAATATGCCTAATAATAAATGTGACTTTGTTCCAATAAAACTTTATTACCAAAACAGATGGTAGGCAGTGGATCGGTTTGATGATTTCTGAAAGTTTATGCTTTATACTAAGCTATTACAGTTTGAAATTCAAAGTTTCTTTATCTTGTTAAATTCAAACATAAGACTTTTAACATTCCTATACAGTCCAACCAAAAGGCCATCTACTTCAGGAAACATTTATACAGTATATGCGCGCAGGGCACTGACCACTGAGAGGCAACCTGACTGTTCTGCCATCTCCTAGCGTTTCATTTGGTTATTTTCGGTTTTGTTTATCATACATTATTACTATTTCTGTGACTGACACCTCTCCTCTACCAAACAGTAGATTGAATTAGACATACACAGTTTAACAAGATAGTGAAGACATATACCTCATTAACACTAAGTAGCGAATACATATTTGCTTAATGGAAAAATAATTTATATGTATATGTATATATATATATCTCTCTGTGTGTGTGTGTGTGTGTGTGTGTATATATATATATATATATATATATATATATATATATATATATTTTAGTCCATTTTAAGAAATAAATAAATTTACAAACAAGTTCATACTGAGGACTAAATATCCTGAAAAATTCTACTATCACACATGCTGGAAAAAAATATTCAAAAGAATAACTTTTAACTCATTTTTGAGTTGGAGGGGAAGTGTGGAGTGTCTCAGAAGAGAAAGAGCAAATGGGAGCAGTAATTTGTAGAGGTGACATAGCTCTGGAGCTAACAGCAGCCCTAGCGACATGGACTGAGGCTCTGTGACCAAAAACGTGTTTTAACTTTCGTACAAGTGACTGAAAATTAAAATTTTAGTTAGCCACCAAAACTAATTGAAACAGAGCATATAGTAGCTAAAACAGTAGAGTAAAAACATGGAATGAGAAAAAAAATCAATCCAAAGAAGACAAAAATGGAAACAAACAAATGTATACAAAGCAGGACAGTTAGACGCGCTGGTTTGCGGTGGTGGAAACAACCAGTGAATCAGGGTCTCAGTGAGTGCAGTGGACCACAGCAGCGTGGAAGACAGAGATCATACCGTGAGATTTAAAATTTCATAAGAATATGAGGGTTAGAGGAGTTATAACCAAACTGTACAGGCACAGAATGTTTGAAATAAATGGTTGGGAAAGATTAACAACAATAACAGGTATAATATTTTTTTTTCCATTTTTGTTCAGATAGAGTGGGAAGGAGAAAGAGGATGAGAGAGAGAGAGAGAGAGAAACATCGACGTGAAAGGTACACATCAACTGGTTGCCTCCTGCACGACCCCAACCAGGGCCGGGGATGAACCACAACTGAGGTACGTGCTCTTGGTCAGAATCGAACCGGCGACTCATTGGTCTACGGGTCGACACTCTAACCGCTGAGCCAAACTGGCCAGGGCTGATATAATATTTTTAAGGCAAAACTCTTTTAAAGATAAAAAGGGAAACCTACTATTAAAAAAAGTATTCATTCCACGTTGACATGACAATTCTAAACTTGATTGTATATAACATATACAGTCAAAAAATTGACACAGCTACTAGGACAGAGAAATCCACCTTCATTGTACAATATTTTACTCACCTCTCTCTGTAACTGACAGACTAGGCACATCACAAATAATGATAGAGGAGAACTGAACAACAAAGTCAACAGATTTATATATGTATATAACTCTCCAGGAGACTAAACTTGTTAGACTTGATGAGTACCATATTTATTGTACTCACATATGGGAGAATACATATCGTTTTCATGCTGATACACACTTTTTCCAACCCCAGGTCTCAAAAGTACTGGAAATGCTTTATTTCTTAAGTGGCAGATTCATGGTATCTGCTTTATGCTTTTCTTTATACTTTACATATATGTTATATAATACTCTTTGTACGTATGAGACATTTCACATTAAAAAGAAAAGCATCAGTTCTATCTCATGAAATATCACTGAACAACAAACGAGTGCTTTGAGAATTAAAAAAAAAATGCATGTATGTGACAGCATTAACATGTGTAATAGAACTGACCATTTATACTATCTAATTAATTTTAAGATCTCTGCATATGTTTGAACAAATGATAACTGTATGAAGTAGATAATATTATTATTCTCATTTCCTTGGTGAGGTAACTACTTTTTCTCTTGGGCCTTGCTTTTGCTTTCTATCTGAATATATCATTCTAAATTCATATTCTTCAGATCTTACACTGAGTTCACATAAAGTATGACATTAAATATGAATTTAACTTGAAAATACAAGTTTTTTCTGGACTCAGGAAAGTGTTATCTACCAGATAATGCCAATTTTTGATCATGGTTAATGAATAAAAGCTGACCATGGAATAGCAAAAGCTGAGCAGATGAACTCATGCCATGAAACTTCCCTCCTGCTCAACACAGGCGTACCTCGTTTCATTGTGCTTCTCAGATATCACAATTTTTACAAATGGACTGTCTGTGGCAATCTTGTATCCAGCAAGTCCATCAGCATCATTTTTCTCAACAGTGTTGGCTCACTGTGTCATATTTTGGCAATTTTTGCAGTATTTCAAACTTTTTCATCAGTTTTATATTTGCTACAGTGATCTGTGATCTTAGAAGTTACTGCTGTAATTGTTTCGGGGTGCCCCATATCAACAGTGAACTTAGTTGTTAAGTGTTGTGTGTTCCGACTGCTCCACCTACTGGCCAACCCC